CTGCTGTGCGGCCGGGGGCGGCCTCGCTGCGCCTCTGCTGTGTGGCCGGGGCATGGCCTCTCTGAGCCTCAGTTTCCTCCTCTGCATAGCAGCTGAACACCTTACAGGGGAGTGGTGAGACTTGGCATGAGCTTGGTGTGTCTGTGTCCTTCTTCCCCTCCCACCAAAGGCCTAGAGCAGTGAGGGAACATGCCTCATGCGTAATTAACCGTGCCTAATGAGAAATGAAATGGTAAGCAGCTTGAGTTCGTAGACTAGCTCGTAGATGGTTTTAATATGGCCGAGGTCATTGCTACCTCCAGCTCATCAATATCCAGGCTTCACACAAGGCCAGAATCAATTTGTGATACATACTTGCTGTATGTGGTTTTTACACTATGGATACATTACATGTAGTAACTATGTATCTCCACCCAGTTGTTTTTCCTGCAGCATTCCTTACATTCAGAGCCTTATACATTCACTGGACTTTTTCACTCAAAGCTGGTGCTCTACCACTGTCACTTCTGGCTTTTGGTTAGTTACCTGGGGATGAGAATCTCCTAGACTTTTCTGCTGGGCTGTCTAAGAAATGAGATCCTCAGATCTCAGCCTCTTCCTGAGTAGCTAGGATGACCGGCGTGCCACCAGTGTCCTGCTTTATTAGTTGTCAGGGACATGTGTCAGGATGACCTAGGAATCTTTTTTTTTTTTTTTTTTTGTCGGTCGTGGGGCTTGAACTCTGGGCCTGGGCGCTGTCCCTCAGCTCTTCAGCTCAAGGCAGTGTTCTACCCCTTGAGCTACAGCGCCCCTTCCGGTTTTCTGGTGGTTTTTTGGAGGTAGGAGTCTCACGGTCTCTCCTGCCCGGGCTGGCTTTGAACCGCGATCCTCAGATCTCAGCCTCCTGAGTAGCTAGGATTACAGGCGTGAGCCACCAGCGCCCGGCTGACCTAGGAATCTTCTAAGCATACCCTTCCACTCCCTGACTGCCAGCAGCAGTTCAGAGCCATGGAGAGCTCTCCACTTCCCTACCTACTCCCCTCGCTCACCTGAATGTGAAGGTCTGAATTTAGGTTTTAGGCCTCTTACGTCACAACTCTAGTTATATCTGGAACCAGTGACAAGTCTGTAGAAACAGTTGCTCTTGGTTCAAGTGTTTGTCCAAGAAACCTATTTGGTACACTACAGCGTACCGGTCCCCGACATCCACTAGCATGTGCTACCTCTCATTTCCTACAATTCTGTTCCCAGCCAACGTCACCCTGGTACCTGTTTGCCATTGTGAGTTACAGATGAAAGGATTGTCCTTAATGTCTTGAAGCCCATGGCGATATCCAGCAGATGAGCAGCGAAGAAGAAGTTGTTGTAGTGGCCCAGGACCGACATGGTTGTATACCAGGCAAGGTACAGAAAGGACTAGAAATGGAAGAGAGGTAGCAACACTATGGACACTCGTGCGTAGGATGTGCTCATTTGCCATCATTCCTCATTTGAGGGGATGGAGGTGCTGAGGCACTGGGAGCCACCCAAGGCCTGCTGCCCCGGGAAGAGTGCTTCCCCGCTGGGCCGCTAGCCTGCCACAGGGAAGAGTGCTTCCCTGGCTGGGCCGCTAGCCTGCACCCTGGGCTTCCCCGCTGGGCCGCTAGCCTGCACCCTGGGCTTCCCCGGCTGGGCCGCTAGCCTGCACCCTGGGCTTCCCTGGCTGGGCCGCTAGCCTGCACCCTGGGCTTCCCCGGCTGGGCCGCTAGCCTGCACCCTGGGCTTCCCCGGCTGGGCCGCTAGCCTGCACCCTGGGCCCCCAAGGAAGTCTGTCTTCAGGGGGAAGGGCTCCACGCACCCTGCGGCTCAGCCGAGCCCCTGGGCATCCTCAACGCTTGTCCCCTACGACAACCCCAAACCCCAGAGAAAAGAATCTTGTTTTTCCAAGTACAGTACTTACATTGTCAGTAAAAACAACCCCCAGTTTCCAGATGTGGTACTTCATGTCAATGGAACTTAGCCTAAAGAGGGAACAAATAATTTCGTAACTTGTAAAGGTCAAGATTTTGTTGTGCTTAATTAGAGAGAAATTAAGTTTCTCTCTCAGGCTTAATAACCTAAATACAGCTCTGAACCTTATCAAGTTATTCAGGTACTCCAGAGAGACAGAGTGGTTGAGTCACACATTTGGAAATGTTAGTCTCTCTCAGCTCTTTTGAGCATAAAAACTGGCCTTCAAATTCTTAAAAGCCTTCCTCTCCCAAGACGCCAGGGCCTGGGCAAGACATTGGTGCCAGAGCAGAGCCTGAGAATTCAGACACACTTGCAGCTTTTCCCTGCGGGTGGAGAGGAACGGAAACATGGTGGCCCTAAGTTAGCCGCGTGGGACCCGTCTCCCAAGCTGTATACCATGAGACCAAAGATGCTGCCTCTGCTGTGGTCTCCTCCACTGGGCTGAAGTCCAGGGCGTTTTTGTCCAGACCCAGGAGTTCAGCAATTCGCTCTGCTCCATAGAGGTCTCCATACTTGTTGATCACCTAGAGCAAAGAGACAACAGGGTGGGCTGGGGCCACCTGCCACAGCTTCCCAACACTGGGACGCTGCTGCCCCTGGGCTTTGTGGGAGACGGGGTGGGGGGGCGTTAACACATGCTACGGAAGACAGAAAATAAGCCAGAGGAAAATGAAGTGACGAGGGCAAGTATGTAAAAACCTGCTTTTAAAGCTGGTCTCTTTTTGGAGGAGAGGAAAAGTTTAATGCTCAGGAGAGGGAGGGCTAAGGCAAAGTGTTCCAAGACAGGAGAGGACGAGAAAGGGCTGGACACTGACGTGTTCTGTGACCTCTCACGGCACATCACACGTGCTTGTGCATGGAGAACTCAAGCATGCATTACAGCTCCTGTGACTGTGGAATTTACCTTTCTCTTCACAAACTTGTCCCAGTAGTTATTAGGGAAAGATCTGCAAAGGGAAAAAAAGAATTGCCTCTTCATTCTGAACATCAAGGCAACACAGCAAGAAACCAACCAACTCGAGCATCTGTCCTCTCCGAAGGGCTCCCAGCCTGAGGTTCAGGCTTCACACTCTGCCTGGGAAGCCAACATTTGCTCGGAACCAGGCACTGTGATGGCAGACAGTCAGAAACCCTCTCCGAGTCTCTCTTCCTGGCCTGCCAGGCACACTGCTGAAGTCCAGTATGTTTCATTTTTTAAATTGCTTTACAGACATTGGCGTTTCATGCATGGAAACAATATTCGGATCATCGCACACTCCCGTCGCCTTCTCCTGCCCCCTCCCTGCAGTCTCCCTAACCTCAAGTCTAATTTGTTTTTAGGTCGAGGCTCCTCATATAGAGAGAAAAGAGGCAATGTTTCTCTGAGTCTGGCTTATTTCACTTACTATGATTTAACATTTTTCTGTAAATAACACAACTTAATTTCTTTTGGTTGACGAATACTCCCCTGCCTGTATCATGTGTTTCTTAGACTGTACCCTGTCCCAGTGTGCACCAGACAAAATCCAAGAGCTACGCACATTACTTACAGCGAGTCTTTTTTTTTTTGGTTGGTTGTGGGGCTTGAACTTTGGGCCTGGGCGCTGTCCCTCAGCTCTTCAGCTCAAGGTGAGTGCTCTACCGCTTGAGCCACAGCGCCACTTCCAGTTTTCTAGTGGTTTATTAGAGATAAGAGTCTCATGGACTTTCCTGCCCAGGCTGGCTTTGAACCATGATCCTCCTATCTCAGCCTCCTGAGTAGCTGGGATTACAGGCGTGAGCCACCAGCGCCCGGCTTTACAGCGAGTCTTAATGTCCTTAACCCTGCTAGGGGTGAGATGCAGGATGTGGCAGAGCACAGACAAGATTCCTAGCTGGGTGGTCTCTGCGAGTCTGCTCAGTTGATTTGTTTAGGAATATTATTGACCTGAGTGCTGTTCAACTCTCCTTTGTACACTCCAACAAGCAGTGCTTGCTGCCTTCAGGACTGAGTTAGATCTCACTCTCTTTTGTGGAGGTGGTGTCTTGTTCTATGCCATCCCTAGCCTTCCAGGTGGAGAGACGGTGTTTCCTCTGCCTGTGGGTTTTTGTTTTTGTTTTGTTGGTCATGGGGCTTGAACTCTGGGCCTGGGCGCTGTCCCTCATCTCTTCTGCTCAAGGCTAGCGCTCTACCACTTGAGCCACAGCACCACTTTTGGTTTTCTGAGTGGTCTATTGGAGATAAGAGTCCCACAGACTTTCCTGCCCGGGCTAGCTTTGAACCGTGATCCTCAGATCTCAGCCTCCTGTGTAGCTAGGATTAAAGGTGTGAGCCACTAGTGCCCAGCTTGCCAGTAGGTTTTATCAGCTCCAATGCAAATAGTTTCTTAATGAGAGTTGAGAGAGATATGACATCTTCAGGAGAATCAGGGAAAACTGTCACCTGGGACAAATCCTCCCTGGGAGGCCTCGTGGGACTAGACTGCAGTACTTCTGGATCTGTCCCCCTTTCTGACTCTGAAACAGAACTATGACCAATACACAGACTCACCAGCTCCTGGTTATGAGGTGCAGACTCACCTCCCTCCACCCATGGGCCTCGCATAAGAGCGCAGCCCTGAGCAGCAACGGCCACCCTCCCTGGCAGGATGGCAGATTGCTCTCTAAATGCCGCCACTGCCATGGCTTGAACTCTGGGCCTGGGCGCTGTCCCTCAGCTCTTCAGCTCAAGTCTAGTGCTCTACCACTTGAGCCACAGCATCACTCCTGGTTTTCTGATGGTTAATTGGAGACTCTTGTCTCACAGATGTTCCTGCCTGGGCTGGCTTTGAACCACGACCCTCAGATCTCAGTCTCCTGGGTAGCTAGGATTATGCCTTACATTTAGGATTTAAAAACAAATCAAGCCAAGCCTCCTCTGTCACACTGAGCTCTTTTCTCTTTCCTTACTCAAGTAAGAGGTCCACAGCATTCGCCTCAGACTCGGTCATGCTTTGTCCTAAGTGTACGCGTCTAGCTACAAGAGATGCTGAAGAACGCTGACTGCAGCTCTGCAGGAGGCCCCTTCGGGGCAGCCTCTTACCCTGAGCTCAGTACGCTGCGTTCCTGTCCAGACTAGAGCTGGGGTCAAACCCCCTTGAAGACAGAACACATACAGTATGTTCTTTGTGAGGCAGGTACACCAGGACATGAGCTTTTTGAGAGTCCTTTAAAAGTTGCAACACTGACCAGGTCCTGTCAGCTTCCAGAGCTGCCCCCTCTACTGCCTCTCAGTGTCATGCGGGGCCGAAGGCCGCTTGCTTAAGGAAAAGACTTCAGAGAAGGGCGTCACGGGACTTTTGTGATGCAGAGGGCTCTGGAGAAGCTGCTCGGCTGAATGTCTAGATTTGGCTAGGTGTCACGTCCTAGAAACACTCCATGTAACTCAGGCACGGAGACCTAGTTTAGATAATGCCACCTGGACTCTCTGGTACGAACCAAATATGCTCAGTATCTTGATCATGGTAGAGTATGGCCTTATTTTAAACCTCTAGTACATGTATGGAGTGTATCACGGTCTGAGAGGTAGTAGGCTGCTGTACTGGAAAGGCCAGGGAGGGGGACTGGACACGGAGGAAGGCTTTTCTTGTTCCGGGGCCCTGGGCAGCACTTACGGCGTGTTGACCACCAGGCGGTCCCACTGGCCCTTGATGTCATCCTCCGACGGCTGCTCAGTGATGTACAGGCCGTCAAACTCCAGCTTCCGGGCAATCTCCTTCTCCCTTTTGAATACCACCAAAGGCACCTTCACGTGGGGAGACAGCAGTCACTCAGAGAGTGGGAGAATTATTGATACCCAACTTTAGCGGCAGGCCAACAGCGTGTATGGACAGGGTTGTGACCTCCCAGATGGCTTCAGACACAGCAGAACTGCCTGCAGGGCCATGTGTTCCACCGAATCAGACAAAATGAGCATCCTTGAAAGCACTAGGTTTGGGCGATGTGTCCCACAATGATAAATTGGCTTTTATACATGGGGGGGCTTCTTCTCATCTTGAATGGTTGTAAGAAATCCTAGTATTTCAAAGATCAGAGAAGAATCTCAAATAGCTTCATCTCTCATTCTGCCCGATGACAGTAATGCCATCCGTCCAACAAGAGATGTCTGAATGGGGACGTGTGCAGAAGGGGTCACACCTGCATCTGGCCGATTCTGGCTTGAGGCTCGGCTGGTGCCCAGGTAATGCCAGAGCCATGACACCGCAAGTCTGAACTCGAGAACAAGGGGCTGGCTAAGCTAAAGAAAACACTTTGCTCTCCAGGACTCAGACTGGTTCAGAGCACAAGGCTGCTCACCTTCAGGCAGTAATATCCCACCACACAGACGAGGGAGATGACGGTGTGGACCACGGCCAGAGCTCCCAGGGCCGGCGCCATGTAGCCGGTGCTCTCCTGCAGGACAAAGAACACCACGGCTTCTTCCTCGTCCTCCTCATTAAAGGAATTCCACAGGTTCGCCACATCCTCTGTCTCTTCTAAAGGTTCTTCAGTGACCTGATCCAAGACACACACACTTCAGAACAGCACAAGGAGCCGTGGCCCACTGAGTATACATCACGCAAATCCTAGCAACACGTTGAGTGAGACCTTCCATTTGTCTTCTCTGGACAACAGAAAACCATCGTTTCACCAAGTGGAAGGTTGGTGTGGGTAAGAACGCTTTAGAAAAATTAGATTGTTGGTTTAAGTAGGAAAGGAAAGAGATCAGATACAGAAAAGCCAGTGACAAGTTATGTCGAGTCTACTCTTTGGTAGCACATAGTGTACAAAACAATGGGTTTCATGATGGCCTTTTTCTTTTGAAGCAGGTCTGGCCTTATAACTTGGGCTAGGCTTGAACTCAGAAGCCTCCGTTGTCCAGGTGCCACACCTGGCTTCTCTGTGACATTTTCATGTGGGTGCACAACATACTTTGATCATGTTCACTGCCTCACACCTAAGACCTTTGCCTCATTCCAAAGAGAAGAGGGAGAGAATGCAATGAAAAATTCAATGCATGTCCTTCAAAATTAAGAGGGAGGGAAGGAGGGTGCGAATGTTGAAAGGGGTGCATTGAACTCATAAACTGTTTTGTTAAATGCCAACTCCTTTGTCAACTACTTAAATAAAAATAAACAATTATTATGGCCTTATAGAATGCAGGATTCATTTGCCAATGTTCAAAGCCTTTATCTTCGCAACGCCTGTTAATTTTCTTCATAATAGTTCACATATATGGAAGTGGCGCTGTGGCTCAAGTGGTAGAGCGCTAGCCTGGAGCTGAAGAGCTGAGGGACAGCGCCCAGGTCCAGAGTTCAGGCCCACGACCAACAAAAAAAAAAAGGAAAATAGTTCACATGTATGAGCTCACTATAATGACTCTCAGGAAGAGAGCTGCATTTGCAATACAGTTCCTAATGTAGGGCCTAGCACATAGTAGGTTCACAATAAATATTTGAAGACTGAATTCTGTAACAACTCAAGCTTCTGCTGTTGAAGTATTATCTAACTTGCCTCCCTTGCCAGCCATAGCTAGAGGCTGTGTACTTGTTATGCCTTCGAACATCACTGTCTCGGGCAATACTAAACATTACTGTCGAATGCCTGAGACACCACCTTCCATGTTAGAATTTTGGCTGTAATTAAGAGCATAAGTTCTGTTAATGTGTTTCCCATAAATAACAGGCTTGGCGTATAGCCACATTGCAAGCAACCCCTGAGTGCAGTATCACCTTATAGAAAAGCAGGATGAAGTTGATAGCGAAGGCCACAAACAGAGCAAGGAGCCTCAGGTTGTAGAAATTCCTGGCCAGATAATGCTGCAAAGGAAAGGAGGGCAGAGAGAGGCTGGGGGAGGAATGGAGCATCTCCCCCTGTGGTCGGAGCTCTGCTCTGGTTAGGGACCTGCCCTTCCACACCCCTCCAAGGCAGACACAAACGCAGGGAGCAAGGGACCAGAAATGGTGATTTTTAAATACTGCTTAGAACTCTGCCCCTGCCCACAACTGTCCCTAAAGGAACCAGATGCCCAAACACAGCGCCACCACGCAAGCAACTGTGAGGTACTTTTTCATGATCGCTCTGCTTGGAAGAACGCTTGCTTGGAAAGATCTCCACATCCCCTCCCCCGGCACGGCCGAAAGCAGCCGACCCGTCCCTTGTAGGTTACAGCCCCACGGTGGAGCCTCCTGTGCTATTCAGCACCCGAGAACGGGAGCAGCTGCTGGGGAAGGTTCCAGTCTCCCAAAAAGGTGCCAGGGAAGGGGTCCTGGCCAGGGGAGCAGGTATGGAGGTTTGGCTCGTGCACAGCACTGCTTTGAGCACCAGTGTGGGAACAGCCCAACCTCAGGGGCTTCTGTGTCTCGAGTGACCAGGCTGCTGCTGGACTTTTAGACCAGGGCCTGCTGAGGCCTCCCCCACCCCGCCCGCCCCCGGCGTCCCCCACAATCACACGTGGGGGCTGGAAGGGACACAGTGGGACTGTGGGCAGAAGGGCAGGGCGGCACGAGGAGCAGGCAGATGGGAGAGAAGACACTGAAGGAGGAGGATGACACCAGCAGCCAGCCCGCAGCTCTGCCCGGCCACGTGGGGAGGCGCTGGGCGGCCGCTCACCAGCAGTTTGGTCTGGTAGGTGTCCAGGCCTTTAAGGAAGTTGGCCATGAAGGCCTCAGGCTTCTCGGCCTTCTGGCCCCGCCGGTGCGGCTTCCTCTTGGTGACGGCTGTCCACAGGACCTCAGCCTGGCCCTCCTCTTTGGCTTCGTCCTCCTTTTCTCGGTCTTCCATGCTGTGGGGACAAGACACCCACTCAGAAGGGGAGGAAAGTGGTAGGAAGTGAAGCAGGAGGCGCTTGGTCCCCAAGGGCAGAGACCACAGCGGCCCGACGCTGGTGTAAACTTCAGGACAGCTGTTCCGGTTGAGGGCCGGTGCTGACCTGCGAGTTTATACTCCGCCTCTGAAACTGGGCTTAACAAGTTTTCTCTTCCTCTTCAGAAATGCTGTTCCTTTTCTCATCTTCTTGAGAGTTAGCAATAGCATCTACTCTTCTAAATTGTGGCAGGAATTAAATGAGATATTGTACGGGCCTGATCTATGATGAGTATTCAATACAGAGTAGATATTACCAAGATGCTCTGCCGCCAGAGCCACACCCTCACCCCTTTGTGTTTTAGTTACTTTTGGGATAGGGTCTTGTGTTTTCTGGGCTAGCGTGGGCCACAATCTCGGTATTTAAACCTCTTGCGCGGCCGGGTGGGCAAGTGTGTCTCCTGTGTCTGGATTATCGGTGGCAGTGTGACTTTTCCTTTTGCTCAGGCTGGCCTTGAGCTATGACGCCTGACTCCTGCGTAGCTGGATGGCATGCATGGGCCACGACACAGGGCCTACATGCTTGATGACTCATTTGTCCCAACAGTGAACACACTGCTAGGATTATAGAGTTAGTTAGTAATTCAACGTGGGGCCCTAGTGGCTCACACCTGTAACCCTCAGCCACTCAGAAAACAAGCATGGTGGTTCAAGGCCAGCTCAGGCAGGGAAGACACTATCTTAAAACCAATCAGAAAAGAAGGCTGGAGGCATGGCTCCCGTGGTGGAGAAGCAGCCTAGTGAGCACTAGTTTCAAGGTCTAGGAAGCCCACCCCCAAACATTCAGATACACGGAATGTGTGCATCACAGAACTGAGGGGAAAACACGTCTGCTGCTCTTATGAGCAACAGGGAAGCTTTCTGGCTGCCAGGCCACACGCACTTACTCCGCCTTCTCAGACTCCGCATTAAGGTCTGCCGCCTGTGCCGCTCTCGCCGCCGCCGCCACCTGGACAGAAACAACAGTCAGGGCGTCGGCACCAGTGTGGCCTGCAGCGGGCCACGCCGCCCGCGGTCCTCATGGCCGCTGGGCCCAGCTCCCTTGCTCTTGGCGCTCCGGCCTCTCAGGACCTCAGATCTGAGGGTCCTGCCGCGCATCAGGCCGTCTGGACATGCCATGACAAAGCTCTCACGCTGGAGAAACCCAACGGTTCCGTTACTCTACATAAGCGGGAAACGTGGGCTCAGACCATGAGAGAGTCCTGTCCGAGGCCCGTGGCCCTGTGGGGTAAGAGACCTGGCACAGACACACACAGAGCCGTTTTCACTGACAGCGCCAGCCCTGTCTTCAGTCCTCTGGCCAACAGCCCTGCACTCAAGAACGAAGCCGGCGCTCCCTGCAGGATCCCGGCCTTCTCTCCATCTTCAGCTCTTAGTACTTAACTGCTTTCAATTAGGCCTTTCCGGGACATTCTAAGTCCTTTGTACAGCAGGGCCTTTGCGCTGGCCACTTCCTCTACCTGGAGCGTCACAGCAGGCTCCCATGTGCCTGTCACCCTTCAGGGTTTGGCTTTCCAGGAACCACGTAGCCGTCTGTCTGCAGGAAGCCACGTCCACCACTTACCATGGTGGCACTGGCCTTTTCCCACTGGGGGTTCAGAGCAAAACCACGGCTCCCCGGCTCCCCATGTCCTGGCACAGCGAGTCCCCGGCTGGGTCTACCTGAATCAGGCTGACTAAGCCAGTAGGACAAATGAATCGCTCTGGAAGGGGTGACTGGGGCTCTCCCTCCGTACCAGGTAGACTTTCCTGTCTGCCTCTCTTACCTGGCACCTCTCCTTCCTAGCATACTGACCTAATGGAGAATGGAAATGGAATGAACAAAGGTGGTCTTGGGCCCTAATTTCTCCCTGCTTCTCTACTTTCTTGGCTGCAAGAATGACACAAATGCTACAAGAGAGGAAACCACTCAGATCCTCCAACACACAACAGGTGTGAATCGCTGCTTATTCACTTTGTCTGGCTGACCGGCTCCACGGATCCAGGGAGCCACACAAGGTCAGCAAAACCTTCAAGACTTCTGGCGCATTCAGTTCACAGCATCAACCCATGCGTCATGAGAGCTACCTTCTATGAAAGACTGGAGCAGGCTGGTCACGCTGGCGCTCTCCCGGGTAAACCGGAGAAGCCCCTAGTGAGACCCCCTGAGGAACCCAGAGCTGGGTGAGGGTCAGGCGTTGACAGCGGGCCTGCGTCTGGTCAGCGGGGGCAAGGCTCCCTCTGCGACCCGGCGACAGCCCCGCGCCGCGCTCACCTGGGCTTTCCTCTTCCTCCGCACGGTGCTCTCCAGCGTAGGCGGCTCGGCCTTGCCGATGACTTCAGACAGGTCACCTAAGCCCACTGCGGGCCCTTCTTTGTTTGGGTGGAGTCCAAAGAGGTCTGGCATGAGGTCTGCGTCCCCCTTCCCGCCCTTCACCGCGTGGCCCGGCTCGGCGGCGGCACGCAGCTCGCCCGCGTCGGCCCGCTCGGCCTCGGTGGCGTCGTCATGGATGCCAAACTGGGTCGGGTCGGGCATGTCTCCCAGGATCTTGGTCACTCGGATGTTCCTCGCGCCTTCCACCAGGCCCCCTCCGAACACCGTGCTCCAGAGGGCCTGAGCGAGGCCCGCCAGGAGGGCGAGGAGCCCGCGGAGCAGCCCCAGGCACAGCGCGGAGGCCAGGCCCAGGCAGGCCTGCGCCAGCTCCCGGGCCGCCATCTTCCTCACGCTCCGGCACTGCCTCCGCAGGTTCCTCAGGGTGGCCCTCCTCAGCAGGGCGGCCGCGCTTCTCTTGGCCGCGGCACAGGCCACGGCAAACGCCGAGGCACACTCCAGGGACCCGTCCTCCTCCTCCTGACCCTCCGTGCCTAACGCACAGGAAGACTCTTCCTCTTCCCCCTCCTCCTCCTCTTCCGGCCTGTCGGCTGAGTCGGACTCAGAGATCTGAGAGGCCAGCTGCATCTCAAAGATGGTGTCCTCACAGAAGCTCACAAACAGCTCCATCTTTTCTTGCTCCCCCCCTTCGTTGACGACGTCAAAGATGAACTGCCGCTTGGATTCCTTCACTTGAGGCTTTTCCCACTGAGTCCGGCTGGACTCGCTGATCTCGAAATACACGCGCTCGATTTTCTTGGCCCCTCCCATGATCTCGATGCGCCCCAGGTAGGGCTCGAAGTATTTCAGCACACTTTCCGCGGGGTCGAGCAAGCACTTGAGGCGAGGGTCATTGGGCATGTGTTCAGACAGATTGGTCAACAGCACTGCCACGTTGAACCCTATGTCCTTGGCCGGCTCATGGAACCGGTCCACAAAGTCAACGTAGTTAAACAGGTCATTCTCATCCGCTTCGGCACAGGAGAGGAGAAAGTCAATCTCGGACTGTGCGTACTGCTTCTGCCCTTCCATGGCCTTCTGGAATTCTCTTTTGGAGATAATCCCTTTCCCATCTGGGTCGTATTCTTTGAAGGCGTCGGAGCCGGTTAAGTCCTTAAGTTTCAAGAACATGTCAAAGAATTTCAGGATCATTTCTACGTTGGTAGATGATTCTACCAGGGTGTCAACCATCTGCTTGCCGATGGTTCCATTTACCACATTCCCTGTGAGACAGGTTCAAAAAGACACACAAACACACAAGTAAACCCAAGCTGTCGTGGACCTGGCTGGGTTGCTATTTTCAGAGGCCTACGTGCCAAATTAGTCAGCTGTGTCCTGACCATGAGGATTTGGAAATAGGGAGGGTGGAGTGGTAGGCCCTAAGTCTAGGCACCAGGAGCCCAGGGAGAAGAGACGGAGGAGGAGAGGGCCGCCCTTGGGCCTTGATGCTGGCCCGGGGGGTGATTTCATCGTGAGGTCACGGGGGACCCTGCAGGACTCCTAGGAGGGCGCCCACCTACACGGCTGCATACACAGCGGCAGCCAGAGGCGTCAGAAGCAACGGGGAGAAGGGGGGGGCAAGGCTTGGAGATTTTCCCCAGTTCATTCTGGCTTTCCCACGGATACAAAATGACTTGGTTTCAGGCTTTGTCCACCAGACCACGTGCCCCTCACTCAGTATTTTTCCTTTCAAAACTTTGGCATTTTAACCAAGGTGGTATGGCATCTACCACTTGCCAGCAGAGTAATTTGCACGATGAGCAAGGCTAGTGCTCGGACCAATGACAGTTGTGCGCATGCCTGGTTATACCAAACAGCCCAACCTTCCAGGAGGGACAGAAGCATCACCACCATGTCCTGAAGGAGATCCAAGAGTTCCTTCAGCAGCTCGATCTGACTGGAATCCTAGAACAGAAACAGGAGACCCCCTGAGCTAGTGGACCCCCGCGGGGTGGTGCACACGGTGCGGGCCGGCCAGAGGGGCCGTGCTGAGGCCGGCGGTGGGCTCCCTTCTCGCGGGGAGGAGCTGCCTGACACCGCCTCCGGAGCACCTGGAGACGCGTCCAGCACGCTCCCTCCTCTTCTCCCCCCTCGTGCCACGGTGGGTAACACTGAGCACCGTCCAGAAACTGCCGAGCGACCAACCCGCTTCGCCAAAGAGTGTCCGAGTGCCTTTAGTAGCTTGTGTTGTCATTTTCTGAACTGGAGATTTACTGGTGAGATTTATAGGAATAGTACTGTAATCACGTTAAGGCAACCATAAGTCACCAATAAATTCCCTTCTCTCAACAAGGCGATAGTCATCAATAAATTCCCTTCTCTCTGGGCTACATGACGCTAATTCCAGCCGGTGGGGACCGGGGTGCTGCAGGTGTCCCAAGGGTAAAGATGGATGGAGTCGGTGGTAGTCTGGCTTTAATCTAAGCGGTGCAGCAAGGTCTTGCTAAGCTAGCTCGTGCTTACACCACACACGGAAGACACGGTCCAGAAGACCTGATCCGAGGGCGAAGTTAAAGTTAGGAAATGATGCTTGCAAGAATAATCTGGGGTCAAACTTCCTTTACAGATGCTCAGAAAGGTCACAGCCCTGGCCTGGGGACTTCCCCTGCTGTGCTGAGTGCTGAAACTACCTTGAAAATACCATGGAAGTAAGGACTGTCAGCTGAGAGGAAACCTCAGAGTCACCCATTGTCACTGGACATCTCACAGTGACGGGACGGGACACAGGACGGGCAGTGGCGTCTGCGGCACGGGGAGGAGGCGGGGAGACCGTCTGGGAGCCCCTGGGCCACAGAGCCACGCACACCCTCCCACAAGGCCAGATCAAACAGGAAACGGGAAGGGCTGCACAGCACCGTCCAGCAGGGAGGAGGCAGACGTGACCGCGTGAACATTTTACAGACACGTTATTTCACGTGCTGCGGTGCACGTGCTCTCAGCAGCTTGACGTGGTCCTGCATGTGTTGGCATGGAGCGACAGCGCTGCCACACACGCTACATGTGTGTGTTCGCAATGCTCTGCATCGCTGCCACACATGCTGCATGTATGTGTTCATGGAGCGACAGCGCTGCCACACACGCTACATGTGTGTGTTCATGGAGCGACAGCGCTGCCACACACGCTACATGTGTGTGTTCGCAATGCTCTGCAGCGCTGCCACACACGCTACATGTGTGTTCATGGAGCGACAGCGCTGCCACACACGCTACATGTGTGTGTTCATGGAGCAACAGCACTGCCACACATGCTATGAGTGTGTGTTCACAATGCTCTGAGCAACTCCAAGTCATGGTGCCAGAGAGATGGAGGGTGAGGAGGGGGGCAGATGGGCAACAGTAGGGGAGGGAGGACACGGATCACAGAGGCATGCCAGGTCTGACAGCACAGACAGGGCGGACGGACAGTGGTTCCAGACCCACCAGACAGCCGCAAGGACAGGATCAGTGTGGCAGGAAGCGAGGACTGAGGCGGTGAGGCCCAACGAAGCGACGCTTGCGCAGAGCCCACCCGGGACCCCTCCTGCCCCTGCCCCGGTGAGTCTGCACAGCCGCCTGGCCCGATGGTGAAGCCCACCCGGGACCCCTCCTGCCCCTGCGAGTCTGTGCAGCCGCCCGGCCCGATGGTGAAGGTGCATCCACAGGGCACTGAGGCCAGCGCCCACCCATGGGGCGCAGCGAGCAGGCCACAGTACCTGAGAGAGCTTCATCTGCATGTTGGCGAACACGTGGAGGAAGCCCACCACGGCGTCCCACAGCCGGCTGTGGGCCAGGCTCTGCTGGTTCCCCACACACGGACCCTGTGGAGAAAGGGAGAGGGGCGTCCTGCTGCGTGCACACCGCGGTGCACACCGCGCTTCCCGCCTAGTCCTGCTCCCAATCCCAGGATGGAGCACGAGGACCGAGCTCGGGCTCTGAGACGCTGTTCTTCAAGTTGATCTTGGAATCAAGTCCTACGCCGAGGAACAATATCCAAACTAGTTAGGGGCCATGGTGGACGCACCCACCCCAGCCTTTCCCAAGTAACCTGAAGTGCCCGAGTGCACCCGTGAGCGCAGGCCCCTGTTCTTTGCAGGCAGAGATTCGCAGAGGTGCTACGCCCTGTGACCACAGGATCTGCACAGCAATCCCCGCTGTTCCGTCACTTCTAGGACTTTCTTATCACTAACCTAAACTTCAGGTATAATTCCCCCCCCTTTACACACGCACACACACACACACACGCGCGTGCACACACACGCACACACACACGCACGCGCATACACACACGCGCGCACACACACGCACACACACGTGCACACACACGTGCACACACACGCGCGCACACACGCACACACACGCGCACGCACACGCGCACGCACACGCGCGCGCACACACACTCATGCACACACGTGCGCGCACACACACGCACACACACACACGTCCACCTATGTAACTACACCAGCCTCACACTGGTGATCCTCCCGTCTCAGCCTCCCGTGCACATACCCCGTTGCCCAGCTTCATGTCACCTCCTAGATATCTTTTCTAAAAGCCACGCACAGAGATAACTTCATTGCTAGCTTTCATTTTCCATGGGAATAACTTTTCCATTTTTGAAAATCACTACCGAATCAACGCCCCTTCCCTCTTCCTTTTACTCCGCCCCTTAGCCAATCTCCACGTTATTTCCTAATCAGAAGTGTCTACAGGACACAGATCCTACCACAGAGCCCTGGCAGGCTTCCTCAGGAAGACACGAGAAGCAGGATGCTGCCTGCACCCACAGGCCACCGACGCTTGCTTTAAAACCACCGCTTAAGTACATCAGCTTCTGACTCCTAGAAGCCAGTAGATCATTTTGGAACAAAATTGGTCTTTAAAAGAAATTGGCAGGCGCAGTGACCGAGCTTCTCAGCTTTGGTTAAATGCTCCAGAGGAGACCCGGGTTAGGAGGGTTCCTCCCAGCCAGTGCCCCTCAGATCTTTCCTGAGACCTGGGGGCAGTCTTGTTCCAGTTTCCAGTGCCCATCCTTACAATCCCCCTCAAAACACTCTGCCCTGAGACCTGGGGGCAGTCTTGTTCCAGTTTCCAGTGCCCATCCTTACAATCCCCCTCAAAACACTCTGCCCTGAGACCTGGGGGCAGTCTTGTTCCAGTTTCCAGTGCCCATCCTTACAATCCCCCTCAAAACACTCCTTTTTAGAGTGTGTTTGTTCTAAGGAGCAAATAGGGTCTGAGTGAGCCAACTGGCTCATCACATAGGCATTTATTGAAGATGAAAACCTAATGCTTTTCATAGAACAGATTTTAGCGCTCACAGAATCTATAGAAAGAGCCACCAAAAACCCTAAGACTCTTAGTTTACAGAAGGCTCATTTGGAAGGATATGAAAATGTACAAGAACAAGGATCAACTGTTTATCCACTTTCCTGGCTCTTCTGTTTTAGCCAGATTGGTGTCATTGTTGGTATCGTGTCTCATGAAGCCACAGACAGTCTGTCGCCACTTTCCCCAAAGACAGGGCTACTACGTGCTTCCTGTCTGCGCTCCTCACGGCTCACGGTCCCACAGAGACCCGTCCGGGGCGCATACGCAAGTTCTTTTCCTTGGAAGTGTCAAACCTGTGTTTTTTTTCTTTTTAAACTTTAAACACTTATTTCCTGAGACAGGTTTCACTATACAGCCAAGCTGGCCTAGTGCGCACGATCCTCCTGCTTGGCCTCCCAATGTCAGGATCAAACTCAGATGATGGGCATACCAAGCAAGTGCTTCTCCACCGAGCCACGCCCCCAGCCACCACAGGGATGCTTCGTAAGCATGGCATAAGTAATTATTTTACATCAGGTATGATCATCTTTTTTCAAGTAGTTTTCTTCATGTATATGTATTCTCTCGATTACACTAAAAGCTCTTCTAAGGATAGAGGTCATATATACTGGTTTTCCTCCATTAATCGCAGGAGAGGACAGCTAAGTGTTTTGTTCAGTGAATACATGAATGAAAATTTATTCATGAGTCTCCTGATTATGACAGTCAAAGACAAATGTTAGTTCTGCCTTCAGAATCTTGTCCCCCTGAGAGCCACGGCACAGATACTGGCTTGACTGCACCTCCTCTACACATTTCCCAGCAGGCTGAGTGCTGAGCAGGGGGGAGAGAGAGGGGGAGAGCCCTCCCCCGGGCTCCCCTGCAGGCTTGTTGCTGCTTTGTTTGGAGATGGCTCAAGCGTGACCTGGCCTCAGCCCCTCCAGTGCTGCGTTACAAGCGTGCACTGCAGTGCCTGGCCTTAGATTCTGCTTTTTAACTTCTACTAAGCATCACTACCCTTCCATTTCATCATTGTATTAACGTGTCCACACTGCTCTAGACATTGAGAAAAAATTCAAGTGGAATATGAAGTTTTCTCTCTATGAGAAGCTAGGATGGAAAGCAAGACGTAACTAGCTGAATGTGAGCAAAGCGTGACAGCACCCCAGCAGGAGCCGCGGGGGACTGGAAGCTAAGGCCACACACGCAGGGCTGGCTGGATGCAGGCTGGCTCCCGTTTCTGGGCAAGAAGCGTTGTCCCGTTGGGGGTGAGCGCAGCCCACTGTGTTCAGCCAGGAACTCTGCGGGGAATTTAGAACTGTCCTTTGTTTTCAGTCCACACGCATTACCACATACCTGGATGTATTCCGTAAGAGAATTGAAAATCTGCTTGGTGACCGCCAGAGCTTTAGAAAAATTGTGCTGCCCTGATTCATCAATGACGTTCTTCCCTGAGTAGTACCAGTAGAAATCACTGATTGATTCCTAAAAGCAAACGAGAGGCGCTAAGTACTGCTGATGCCAATCTGGGAGTAGAACTCAGGGTGAGAGCAGGCAGAGGGAATCCGACACGTCTGACTTCTCTGCCGTGACAGGAGCCATGGACGCTGTGAGGAACACAGGCCGTCAAACCCATCATCTTCCAAGCACAGATGCTTCTCTGCAGGGAAGAACCCGCTGGCCAGAGCGCGGCCCTTGGCATGTGGAGACCACCATAGGTGATGGGTTTTTTTCTGTTTTGGGGGTTAGTTGGTTAGTTAGTCTCACAGGGACTTTTCTGCCTGGGCTGGCTTTGAACTGCAACCCTCAGTTCTCAAGCCTCCTGATTACCAAGGATTACAGGTATGAGCCACCAGCGCCAGGTCTGAGATATTTTTCTAAATGAATAAACTACATTGAAGATTATAATGATTCTTAGCCAAAGAACTGTAATAATAGCAACAAAATAACAGCTAGCTTTTAAAGTGCTCCTCTCTTCATCTTCACCACTTCTGTTTGGGGCATGTCCTACCTAGTTTATGGATGGGAAAACTGGAACAGAGAAAAGGCCCACCGGTGGGTCCTGTGCCCAGTGAGTGGCAAAGCGAGGCCAGGAACCAGCCAGGAGAAGCAGCCCTTTCCTACAGCAGCATAGTTGCACTTTCACCCAAATGACTACACAAAATGACTTCTCAACACTGAAAACTGGTCTTACCTCAGCATGCTGTACAATTCTTCCTCCTAGGAGAATTACTCTCTTTGCAAGTTTCCTTACCGCTCCAGGACACTGGCTGGGCCTGCTCTGGAGAGCTGTGCATTTAACCCTCTCTCCACACATCTCACGTGATGGCACACGGATCCATTCAGTATGTAGGCATGGACTGTAGTGCCTTTCTTACTGGGGTGTGGCCGCATGAACTCCGGTGTCAGGTCTCCCTTACACATTTTCAACTTACTAACAGTGTAAAAACAACAGGAGCCCGCTGGAGCGGCACCCGGAGCTGCGGGCCTTGGTCTGCTGGTGTCAGTGCGAGCGGCGGCCCTCTCTCAGGATGCCGCGCGTGGGCCGAGCCTCGGCGGCCAGCCGCTGCACCACTGCACCACTGCCAGGGTGGACAGCCCAGCTCTGCAGCACTCCTGGCCCTTAGCTGTGATGTTCTGCAGGCTAAGTGCATTAGATGCAATTTCAGCTGATGATGGGTTCACGGGGTGCAGCCTCAGGAAAGATCTAGAAGATGTGTGTCCTGGCCTTCCTGACCTTTGGAAGTGTGGAGCCTCTGCCCAGGGCTCCCCCTCACCTGCAGACGCAGAAGGTAGTCCACAGTGCTGATGATGATGTTTACAGTGGTGGTGTTCCCCATCTGAGTCCGCAGGAAGTTCTGAAAGTCTGAGAGTGCAGTGCTGGTCAGAGCCCAGGCCCGTGGCGCACCCGTAACCCCAGGGAGCCGGGCCCGCCTTTCAGCTCCGCTCAGAGGAGCTCACGCTGTGCCAGGTCTGACAGACGCCATCCCTGGGGCCTGACAGACCTTCAGGCCAGAGCTGTACTCAGAGCCCTCCTACCCTGCGACACCCAACGTGGAACTTCATGAACCTCAAAGAGGCCAGACGAAGAGGACGGAGGTTCTGGGAGGAGTTAGCCTTGGTGGCACTCAATAACAGCCACACAGTGAGGGCTCCTATTGATGAGTGTGCTAACTTCTGTCCCTGGGTGTGGAATGGGCATCCTAAAAGGAATGACCACTGTGCATCCGAATGCTGTCGCCCAGGAATGACCACTGCGTTATCTGAATGCGGTCTCCCAGGAATGGCCACTGCGTTTATCTGAATGCTGTCTCCCTCAACAAAGAGCCAACTCACCGCTGTTGTGGCCTTCACAAAGCAACTGCAGGAATCTAAAGAGGTCTCGTGTAAACTCATCATTCTGAAGAACCTTTTCACCTTGAAAATAGAACAGTCCAGTGAGCACCTTCTAATGAAAGCAGCCAAGGAGAAGCGTGTGGATGCTTTGGAAAAGGAACTTTGGGTGAATGGTGAAAAGCTCTATTAACCTAGAGCTGAAGTGACAGACCACAGAGCCCAGCAAAAGTAAATTATTTAGCCCCAAGACGCATTTATAATGACAATATGGCAGTGGTTGCAAACGGTTCACAGTCCATAACCCATGCTTTACAGAGGGAAGACACTTTTTAAATCAAGCATCAAACTGAGGAGGTTAAATACACTCCATGTGCAACCTGCAAGTCCAAGATGGCAGGGACATGGTCCCCGATGAAGGGCATAAATCCAGTCTCTCAGGATTTACACACAGCGGGAGGGGGGGGGGGACTCAGGCCAGAAACTCCAACTTACCACGTTCACGAACAATAACTGTGATAAAAGAAAAAAGAAGACAGAGTAAGGAGAACATCAGTACCTCGGGTCTGATCGGGTCACAGCTGGCCTGTGAGCCCGTCCAGCCTGCATGCTGGCTTTGTCATGACAGTGCGGCACACATTTGGATGAAATGGCGCGGGCTTCGCAGGCTGGAAGCCACGACCAGAGGCTCTAGCCAGAAAGGGTTAACGGATTCTAATCAGGAAGAGGACGGCCTTGGTCTCGTTCATGACTTACGTGTTCCTTCTTCCGTAACCATCCCCAGGCCTTCGGCTTTGTTCTGTCTCTCAAATGCATTCAAATCAAGGACGCTTTTAACAGACAAAAGAAAACAAGGTTCAGGGCTACGCAGACTGGAAAATGGGTTTCTAATGCCGAAGCATCCGTTGACTAAGAAGATGCGGTGCTATTATTTTCTTGAATTGCTAACACACAGCAGTGCTGAAAGTTTTAACAGTTCCTTGACTTTTTATCAAGCATTGAAGTTTAAAATACCGTAGTTGGCTAGTCTGAGGCACATGCCTGTGACCCTAGCACCCAGGAGGTACGGCAGGAGGAGAGTTCGAGGTCAACCTAGGCTCACAGTGAGGCCCTGCCGCAAGAAACCACCCCTAGGCCTCTGCGCGTCCAGCGTTGGCCCTTCCCCCACGATTGCGTGGGGAAGCTCACTGCAAGGGTTGGGGTGATGCTCGGCTCTACCTTCAGACCTCTGCTTTCTCAGAGATCACGTTAGCTGTAGTTTCCAGACTTAGAGCCACACCCTTGGACGGTCATGGTTCCTCACTGTTGGGGTGCCGTTACGTCAAGAGTAAGTTTTTACCCATGTTGTGCCTGAACCTGGTGAGCTGGCTTCCTCTCCACTCCACTTCCTCCTACCTTTCTGGTTACAGCCACAGCCAGATCCCGGTCACCAGGAAGCCCTAGGGCACCATCAAGCATGCCAGGGAGAGCGGCGTGCGGATCGCCTCCCGCCAGGGCCCCTGGGTTCAGTAAGATAGCAAAGGCCTAGCCTTCCTCCCAGCAGTGCGCAGAGGGAGACGGCAGACAAGAAAGACACGGCACCCCTTCTTCTCTTTTGGGGAGTTACAGATCGTCTGTCATGGAGGTAAATTTTAAACAGCAGAAGAGAAGTTGTGCCGCTGTGTGCTGCTCTCCGCTGTGTGCTGCTGTGACAGGGTTGCTCAGCACAGCGCCAGCCTTCTGTGTCTGTCCGACTACTGAGCGAGAACGTTGCTTTGAAGGCGCAGTTTTGATTCCGAATCTGTGCAGCACAGTTCTGATCCTAATTCCAATCCCTAAACACCCATGTCCAGTGTTTTAATTTTTCCACTGCCTAAGTATTTTACAAATGTGTATTACTCTTGTAATAATCAAAACCCATTAAGACATCTTAAAATGACGGTGAGATGCCAGCTGGCCACTAAGTGCCTGTCACCTTCCTTTCCACGCCATCATTACATGAGAATTAGAAACAAACTTAGCAACATTAAGTACTGTGGAAGGCAGGGAGAGCGCTCAGGGATTCAGTGGAGCATTTTGTGAGCAATGCGGAATGATGGCCCGGCTTTACCTCTGAGTACACATGGGCTGTCCCTCCCACAGCGTCAGACCGATAAGATCACATCCTCTTCTCCTGAGAGAAGTCATAAACTAACAGGCTGTGGGAGCTGAGAGTAAGAGCCAGGCCATAGCCCAGACATGCTCTTTGTGGCCCCAGGGAACACTATTTGTGCAGTCAAATAAGGTTCGCAGGACCCTGAAGTCTGCAGAAAGAAAGGCATGCTCATCTTCCAGACGCTCACATGGAAGACATTATGTTCTACTTTAAATATCTAATATGATAAATACTTATCATAGTCCACGGAGGCAATGAGCTAAACAACTTTGCTTTCTTTTAGAATGAGTTTTCAAGAGTAAGTTGACTCTTTTCTTAGAAAGGCTGCTAGCTCACTTCTCAGAGGAGCAGTGTGGCGGTTACGTATTTGTCAGTGGTTCAGCCGTGAGGGGTGACTAACACAACCAGGTAATGTGAAGGGATAGTTAAATGCTTTGTCTTCTAGTCCATGTCAAAATGTTTCCGTTCTGAATTTACCCCATTGAAAAGGACATACGGGGGGCTGGGAAGGTGGCTCAGTGGTAGAGCGCTTGCCTTGCATGCCTGAGGCCCTGGGTTCGATTCCTCAGTACCACATAAGCAGAAAAGCGGGAAGTGGTACAAAGTGGTAGAGCGCTTGCCTTGCGCTGAAGAGCGGAGGGACGGCACCCAGGACCAAAGTTCAGGCCCCACGACCGACAAAAAGAAACAACCCAAAACCAAAAAACAGACAGATGGGTATATATACCCACCCAAACACACTCCATGCAAAGAATCGTTACAAACAGATGACGGCAGTATGGCTGCCCACAGTGGGGTGCCCTAGCATTCCTGTTCTTTGGTTTTGGCTTTCGTGGGTGTCCACGCTTGGAGAAAAGTTTGAGGAACTCACTCAGCCTCCCAGGAAGACAACCTGACCAGAAAGGAAGGTAATTAAAGAGAACAGCTCGTGGAGATTTCTCCCTGCCAAACGCTGCTTGAACACACTGCTAACTCACACGGTGCCCACCGCCCTCCTCTCCAAAAGAGGGGGGCTTGCAGGTAATCCTGCCCACTGCATTCTACCCCCTTCTCGAGTAATGAAACTTCCAGAAAATGCTGAGTATTTCCCCATATTTACCTGCAGGACTGCATAAGACCAGAAAGGCTCTGAAAGAATCCAGCATCTTTTTTCTCCTTTAGATAATCTAGCATTTTCTGCAAAGGAGAGACATTTTAAATCAAGAAAAAGCAATGAGAACGATGCTGCCGGCCCTCTTTAATTCCAGTGGGAAAGTGGCAAACAGGAGTCACACCAAGCACCAAGCTTGTGAATCTCAGACACACACTCTGCTTACCGACCCCAAACCCAGACACACACTCTGCTTACCGACCCCAAACCCAGACACACACTCTGCTTACCGACCCCAAACCCAGGGACCCAATTAAAAGCTGAGAATGTTTTTTCACAAGAGACGTTATGCTCTCTCTGCTAATGGGAAGGCAGAGGTTTCCAGACGTAGCCAGACATGTTTGCTAACGGATGGTTTTTTTAAAGGCCCTGTGAAGTAGTCAGCTGACAGAGGGTGGGGGATTGAGCGAAGAGGAATCACTAAGAAAATGGCAATTATTTTTGTTATTTTATTTTTTGGGGGGTCCAGTCATGGGGCCTGAACTCTGGGTCTGGGCGCTGTCCCTCAGCTCTTCAGCTCAAGGCTAGCGCTCTACCACTTGAGCCACAGAGCCACTTCCGGCTTTTTATTTTTCTGCTTATGTGGTGCTGAGGAATCGAACTCAGGGCCTCATGCATACAAGGGAAGCACTCTACCACTGAGCCACCTTCCCAGCCCCTTATTTTTGTTTTTGTTTGATTTACTTTTTCCAGTCCTGGGGCTTGAACTTGGCCTGGGCACTGTCCCTGAGATTCCTTTGTTCAAGTCGAGTACTATACCCCTTGGGCCACAGTGCTACTCCTGGCTTTTCCTGTTTAGGTGGTACTGAGGAATTGAACCTAGGATTTCTAGGATTTCATGCATGCTAGGCAAGCACTCTACCACTAAGCCACATTCTGAGCCCGAAAACAGCATTTCTTAGTAAGCAATCTGTTTGGTAAGTGTTAAAGGCGGGAGAGGTGATGCGTGAGATGGCGGCTGTGGAAGTGGAGCTCCTCCCTGCCTGGATGTGACTGTGTAAATGTCTGTCTGAACCGTCACTCTTCTGCGTGCCTGGATGCTCCACGCCTGTCTGCTGGGAGCGCTCCCGATTCAGACTTCAGGCACTTGGCGGTCTGCACTGTCACCGGCTGAGGCTTGCTAGCATGGCGGCGGCATGGCGGCAGGGTTCTGTTTGTGGCATTCAGTGCCGCCGCACTGCAAGGCCACAGCATCAGCCCACCACCAGCCTGGCAGGTCAACAATCTGCTCACGCCTCACTGAATGGGGATGCGTGTGGGGGTTCCAACCCCCCCCCATGTGGGGACGAGATTCCTTATGAGGCAGCAAACTAGAACAGGCCTGAGAAACACCCAACCCTAGGGCTTGGGCACAACTCCACAGTACATGTATTTCTGCATGAAATCAGCTACTGGCAACAAAAGGAAACATTTACTTCTTTTATCCCTGGGTAAAACCTTGTCATCAAATGCACATCTGCCTATAAACTCCCAGCCCTGGTTATAATCATCTGTGCTCGGACAGGACTGGCCGCTAAGCACAATGGCAGCCCTCTGCTGCCCCCGGCGACTCCTCCTTAATGCTTGGAACTGCCAGGCGGGGACGGGCCAGCCTAGGACGGCCACGCTCCGGAATGGCCACGCTCCGCCCAGGACAGGCCAGCCTGGGACGGCCGCACTCCGCCCAGGACGGCCGCGCTCCGCCCAGGATGGCCGCACCCCGCCCGGGCGTCCCCTCACCTGCTGCACGCCCGTGTTGCCGCCGTTGAGAATGGCGATCCCCAGCTTCAGCGTCTCCACCACCATAGGGCTCATCTCACCTGCCGGGCGAAGGTACAGTGCGGTCACGGAGGACGCCAACGAAGCCAGGCTACCAGCTTTACCAGGACATGGTAACAGTGCTTTCTCCTCGTGTGACGGCTCTGGTGGTCTGCCGGGCTTGTCCAGGAAGTGGGGAACTCACCTTTGCTGGCACTGATCATCTGTAGAACCATCTCGGCAGCCCCACGTTCATGCAGCCGAGCCTGTTGATAGAGGGTTTTCTGTTTCTCCATCTCTTTCTCCTAGGGGGGAAAAACACAGAGAACGTCCTGTCCCTCACCCTCTATTGCTTCCCCGTCTACCTCGGTCCCCGTTCCCATTCCCCTGAAAGCGATTCTCCATGCTCAGGGGAGCTGAGAGTCTTAGTGGACTATGGACCACATCCACCGTGTCAGATAAGCAACCCTGACGCTTACAGACAGCTTTCCAAGCACCTGACTCATACTCGCTCACAAACCAAAGACAGATCTTCCACTTTTTGTACTGAGGTAACATAGTGTCTTCCTCCTCCTCTGACACTATGACCACAGGAAAACGTGCGTGCTTCAGCTCACTTATGGTGGCAAACTCCTGCAACTTTAGTACTAAATAGAAACATCTCAAGTTCAAGACCTGCCCAAGATACGTACTGAGGTTCTGTCTCAAAAAAGTAAGCAAACAAACAAAAGTGTGTATTTTCAGTGTCCTGTCATGCAGAAGAGACGCTCAAGAGCCAATCTGCACAAATGTGCCTGAACATTAACAGCACCCCTCCTCTAGAATGTTCCACCCTCTGGAAACACACACTTCCTGGCGCTGGGCTACTGGAGCGTGAACATGCTCCGTCACATGGCTCTGTTCGTTTGCATCTGCTGCAGTCTGTTGGGTGCTCTGCAAATTACAGACTATGAGGATCCTGAAATATGTTACCTTCAGGCCCCCGTGGATTTCAAATGAAAAGTAGTAGCCATTTGCATTTACAGAACAGTAGTGCAAAATCCAGCGCATGGCTCTGATGTGTCATTTTTGGCTGCTTAGGTTTGTTCTTTCACAGCTCCGGGAAGTCGTGTCACGCGGTCAGCCATGCTCGCGGGTGGGCACCGCTTCCGGTGCCCGGCTGGGCCGTGAGACGGCGGCAGACACTCAGACACAGCGGCGGAGCCTCACCCGGCCGGCCAGCACGAAGCTGCTGCTGGTTGGCCTGCAGGCAGCCTTGTGTGTGATCTTTATGAAAACTTACCTCAAATGTTTTTTCCTTGTCTTCCTCTTCGTCTTCATCCTCTCCGCTCTGACAGCTCTGGATTTCCATGGAGCAGGGGCAGGAGCAGAAAAACAACCAAACCGAGACTGCTAATAAATACAACTTTGTTCTACTTGGCACAGATGGGTGACAAGCTATAATTTACCCTGGGACCTCAGGACTCTGCAAAGCCAGGAACATTCTGATCACTCTATGACAACATTCTAGTTCAAATGCCATCTGTACAGTTATCAAGGGGCTAAGAAGGAAGAGAGGAACACCAAGATTCATAGTCAGTGGGACGCAGCCTGACGCCCCACAGCAAATAAAGTTCTGGGGTACATGGGGGTAGGGAGAGCAGGGAGGTGTCCGGCTCCCACGCAGCGGCCGTGCGGCTGCGACCGACGGGGCTTGGCTCCCGCGGGACCCTCTCTCGGGCGCCTGGTGGCGCAGCGGACTGGTCCAGGCGATATCTCCGTGTGCTGGGAGCCTTAGGCCTAGGGAGACAGAGGGACAATGCGCAGACACCCCGTGTACCTTGGCCATCATGCTGGAGTAGGAGGTATACAAAGGGTCCTCTTCCAGTTTGCTGAAGAGAAGGAAGGAAGTCGTTAGAGGCTGCCTCTTGAATCCCACAGGAAAGACCACAAGCCATGTGACTCTCAAGTTATAGGCACTAGTGAGCTAATTAGACAACTCCCCCTCCCCCCTTACAGAGAACTCTGGGATCTGAATCAGCGCTGGCTTGTATGGAGCTCAGGAGTAAGATGTAACTCCGGGCTGCTTCGTCTTCCGAGGCTGCCCGGCGACGTGACGCGAGGGTCTTGGCTGGGAGCAGCTCCTCCTGAGGCTCCCTGTGCTGCCGGCCACCGTGGGCTCACAGCCCGCCCCCCACCCCGGCCCGTTCAGGAGGGCGGCCGCGGATCCGGGCTGACCTCCTCTCTGTGAGCGCGCTGCGGCTGAAGTGGAGAATGATCTGGTGCAGCGGGTCCGGCTGCCTTTCCGGCTCTTCCTCCTCTTCCTCTTCCACCGTGGGCGATCTCTACAACAAATGCACCGTAGGTTTAGGCACAGATTCACCGCGTGCCACAGCGCTGCATGCAAAAGAGGCCAAGCGCAAGGCACAGAGGCATCAGGTTGGAAGCAGAAGAGGAGGCCACAGCCTCGGGACGGAGGCTGGCAGAGACACGGACATATAACAGGGTTAGGCCAGGTGAGAGTGGAGAAAGGGCAGAGGCCAACCACAGGGCAGAGCGTTGGGCCGGCAGAACTTCCAGGCAAGCTGGGGGTACCCATGGCGAGCAGGAGTGCAGAGGCTGAGTCCCGCTGGCCAATTCTGGAAATTTCTCTTGGGGAATTAGGTTGGAGATGGTGGGGTAGGGGGAGCAAGAAGCACAAAGCCCTGGGGCCGCTTTTGGGTCTAATATTGTTCTAGATGCAGCCTGTGTGTCTGCTGGCCTCACGCCCTTCTAGCCCCTCCTGCTCCCAGAGGCTGTCCTCAGCTCACGCCTGGCACCCCCTCCTCGGGCAGAAGGGGGAGGAGAGATTTCAGTGGGGGAGAACTCCCGATGGGCCGATGGGAAACGGGGCAAGCGCCTTCCCCACCTATAGGAGCGCAGAGGAAAACGAGGAGGAAGGGCTTAGCAAAGGGAGGGGAAAGAAACAGAACGTGGTAGGGAAAGGCACGGAAAGAAACACAGGATTTGTGGAGAAAGTAAGTGATGGGAGAGAGATAAGGGAGGAGGGGAGGACAGAGAGGAGGAGAGGGGAGGAAGGGAGGAGGTGAGGGGAGGAAGGGAGGAGAGGGGAGGAGAGGGGAGGGCAGAGGGGAGGAGGGGAGG